ATGGAATTCTGAAGGGAAGATGTACAGGGAAACCAGAATTCCCCTGCGATCAGCATCAAAACACAATGGAATTCTGAAAACAAACACATGGTAGCGGAGCCGCATCTGCTAGAATGACAGCCCAGCAAAAACTTCCACATCAAACACATTGGTAGCAGAACCACATCTGCTAGAACCACAGCCCAGCAAAACTTCCACATCAAACACATTGGTAGCGGAACCACGTCTGCTAGAGCCAAAGCCCAGCAAAAACTTCCACATCAAACACAGCCACATGTGCTAAAACTACACCCCTGCAAAAAAAACACACACCCTATTCCACATCACACACTCCTAGAGGAACCCCAAACAAAAATACAACCCTCAGCAAAACGCACTGCATCACAGCGCCCTTTTTCCACCACATCTTCCCGCAGCTTCTGCTGCAGGGCAAGCAAGTAACGTTGCAACACCGTTTTTTGGGCAGAGCGGCTGTGACACCTTTTCAAGGTCCTTGCCACTCGTTTTACCCAATCTTCATCTTGCCACGTGCTATCTAATAATGGATTCCGCCTTGAGGGGCGAAGCTCCGCATCATGCACCAGGTGCCAAACCATATGTAGCTTGGGCCTGAGGCGCCAAAGATCCGGTTCTGAGTGAACCAGGGAAATGTACATCTTCAAAAACGCATCGCCAACTATCGATGCGTGGCTGGATTCTTCTGGAGACAAAGTATCGCCAGCTGAACTCAAACAATCCATGAACGAACTTGCTGTCCATACCAATGCTCGGACCTGCGCGCAAGCATCTGGAGGAGGTGCACTTTCCAGCGTACAGTGAAGCCAACGAAGTATCAGGAAAGCATCGTACCCCTTCGCGTGGAGTTCCTCACATGCAGAGGTCGGAGAGCAAAATGGCCCAACATCTTTCCAAAACCTTGGACACCCCTGAAAACCATTTGCACCGAGTATCAGGATAAATGCCTTTCTTGAGGCACAAGTTGTCCTGGCTGAACTTCCTCAGTGCTGTTGCCACTCCATTCGCGCGGCACCAGCTTTTCAGAGATGCAGTTGCGTGCTCCAGCCTTTTCCCAACACCACGCATGAGACCAAAGTATCCAGTCTTCACCAGCTTGGACATAGAGCCACCAATCCTCAACAAAAGAGAAATGGAAGAAACACCATTTTCCTCCACACCACATACCACCAAACAAAACACAAAAAACATATGGTTGAGGCCACTCAGCCACAAGTCCCTAGCCACGCCCAAATGCCAGATGTGCAGCGCATCCAATCCGATCTTCCTGGTCTTCCAGAATCGTAGAAACGAAAGTGCTGGTGCTGAATCCCAAGGTTCCTCGCAATCAAATACTGTAGAACGCCAGCTCGCATCATCTGAGAAGTCTGAGAAAATATACTCTGGAATGTGATGTCCCTTGGACGCCAGGCAATGGAAGCAAATGTGTTCACAGCCATAGTGTCTGCAAAGATTGCCAATTTGGCGCAAGAACTTCCAATCCCCTCGCAGGGACATGACATACCACCTCCATGTCACCTGCGCGCCAGTTCCATCAGCGCTATTCAGTGATATGCCCTCATCAGACAACTTGTTGAGAGACTGGACAATGTAAGTTGCCAGCATTTGCAGTGAGCGGTTGACCCCCTTAACCTGGGCACAGTGAGCATCCCCACTGATCAAATCTCAGGGGTCACAAACAAGCAAAAAACTGTAAACAACAGGCTTGACCTCGTGCAATCAAAAGACCACCCAGTATTTGTCTGCCGGCAAAACTGTAATCAAATACCTGCTTATAAAGCTGCTGGTTTTGTGTGGATGCAGGCTTGGCGTCCAATGAAGAGCCATGACTTGCTGTCTGAAAGCTGCAACCTCATCCCCATACATGGTTATAGGACTCGAATGCTCAGCATCGATATGATTTGTCATATCAGGAAAGTCCTTTACGGCATCAATCCAATACTTCTGACGTTCCAAACCACTTCCAGTGAGGTGGTCCAAATACCCATGGCTGACAAGCGCCGTGGCCAAGTCATATGGCAATAAAGCAGGCCACTCTCGAATCACCACCTCACCATCTGAGGATAGAACCGGTATCTGGACCTGTGAAATCTTGCAGTCTATCGGTAGCTTCGCACGGGACAATGCACGGTGAAACTGTTCCTCTCCACGGTAGCTGTTTGAAGTAAATGGTGTGCTCAAATAAATGTTTCCAATCCTCTCAGCAGTGTGCTTGGAGATGTCGCCTTCTCCAATGGCTTTGGCCAGACTTGGTCGCCCAAGATTACAAAATACAAAATGCTATCGGCAACCCTCCCCCCACAAAAAGAGAAAACAAAGAC